AAACAAATCTAATCATTTAGGGACAATGTTCATGTATCTGGTTAATCTACATTGATATTTCTTTTTCTTTTGGCAATATGTTGTAGTTTTCTTGATATTGAAGGAATTAGAAACCGGGAGAAACAACACTGAATATAGATTTCTGTGCTTGAAAGTTTTGGTCATGATGAAAATAGATGATTGAAGAAAATAGAAGAAAATAAAGCCCAGCATGATAACAGGGTAGCTTTAGTAACCTGGTTACTCATTTCTGACTATGATAACACATCCTGTTAACCTCATAATTAAGAAAAATATCTGTGCTCTATCTATTTAACGTTCTTTCTGTTTTGGCTATATATTATGATTAATTTTATATATTGCAAAACAAGAGTAGTGAGAGAGTGGGAAGTTCAGAACATGGGAGGTCTATAAAAATGTAGAGCTTGGGTCAAAATAAAAGATTGAAAAGTCTATTAAAAACTCATAAAAGTTCAGATATCAGCCAAAATTAAAATCTATGTAAGAAAATTAAGTACACCTGTCACTTTTGGGATCACATTAGGTATTCTTTCTACCCCATGTATAGTCTATAACTGGCTTTTATGTTTTCATCTGGAAAAAAGTGATACTTGGAAGTTTTTTTTACACATTTCTCATTCAGTTTCCAAAATCTTCAGTTTGTGTATCATATCCCAAACTCATCTTCTCAATATTTATACTCTTTGATTTTCAGTCCTTTACCTGTAGGTGCCAGTCATCTAACTTTTTTCTCTGGTCCCTGCTTTGTTCTGTTCTTTCCATCTCAGCTGTCAACCATCCCGGCTCAATGTGCTTGCTTTACCTGGTTCTAGCATCTTACCTGTCTCTTACCAGAAGTGGAGGTTCTCTGTCCATTCACTGTTCAGCTAAGTATTTGTGCACACAGCTCATGGACCAGCTTATCTATAAGGAACCCAAAGCACAAATAACAGTGCCACTAAGTACCCTTGGGACAGTAAACTAAGAATGGAAATTAGATGTTCCCATGAGGCTTCACATACAAGCATGAAGCAAGTAAAAAATAATATATTAATATCTCCTTTTCAGTTATTCTTTCTTTATAAGAGTTTTCAAACTCTGCTTAATATGTATTCATTGGCACAACAATAAAGCTTAATGTGGTATTTCAATACATATCATAGCATATGTTGGTCAGATGAGGGCTCTAAGTAACATCCTCTTATAATTGGTTCAAAGGCTTTGAGCACGTTTCTTCTAGATTTTCACAAAACAGATAAAATGTTATTTTAAGTTACTGTGCTGTGAAACACTAAAATGCAGTTTTTCACCTCCTTGGCTTTTGTAGCTTGTAGTTATACCTACTTCATGTTTAAATTAGCATTGCTCTATTATACCCATGCTGCGTTCAGTGTTTAATGTGGTTAAATGCATTCTTGTGTCTTCATTTATCTGTTTCCATAGATATTATAAAGTGGTATGTAAAGAGTTATAAACAAGAGACAAAATGTTCAAAAAGAAATTGCGTGTGCAAAGAATGGCACATGCATTGAGCTAGAAGAATACACATTTCCACACTTGGATCTCAAGTTCAACTTTATGTCCAATGGTGCTCTGTTATCTCCATTTTATTATGCTGGAAACTTGCAATGAACTATGCTGACCTAACAGTGTGCAGTGTGTGTTCTTTTTTTTACTATCCTATAAACTACACAATAACCAAGAGCTTTTCTAGCTCAGTGTACCTCACGTGCTTAGTGTAGATAAGTATTGATGGGATAAATTTATTACGTCTTTTGAAATTTAATTTAATAACCAATAATAACTCTATTTTTCTAACTTTTTTTGAAAATTCACTTTTTTTCTCACAAAATATGTTCTTATTACAGTTGTTCTTCCCTGTACCCCTCCCAGTGCCTCTCCACTTTCACTTTCATCCAGATCCACCCCATTTGTTCACTTATTAGAAAACAAATAGATTTCTAATGAATAATAATAAAGTATAATATGACATGATGTAACCAAAATTAGTAAATTGGAATAGGATAATGGAAACAAAAGGAAAAGAGCCCAAGAAAAAGCATAAGAAACATTTACAGATGCAGAGATACACTCATTCCCCATACTCAAGAATCCTGTAATATGCATGAAAAGAACCTATATGGTAAAAAAAGAAAAAATATAATTAAAATAAAATATAATAAAAATAATGAAGAAAAGTAAGATAAAAATTTTTAAAAATCCAACACAACATTATGAAACAAGGAACCCCCAATGCTGCTGTTAAGTTCGCTTTTTATTGGACATCTAGTTTTGGGCTTGAAGCTGACACGAGTAGTTTGTTTCCCTGGTGAAACCCCCTTAGAAAAACTAAATTTTCATTTGTAAGTGTTTATCATCAGGAGAAAGCTTCTGGGTTATGTATGGGGGCATGTATCCTTTCAGCTCTAGTATATTGTCTATTGCAGACCTGTGTAGGCTCTGTGTATGTTACCTCTGTCTCTGAGTTCATATGTGTATTGATCCTGTTGAAAAAGAAGACTTTGTTTTCTTAATGTTGTCCATTCCCTCTGACTCTTAACTCTGTCTACCTCCTCCTCTGCAGGGTTCTTTGAGTCCTGAGGGGAGGGATTTGATGGAGATATCCTCTTTAGGATTGATTGAGTGTCCCAAGGTCTCTCATTCTCTGAATTCTCTGTTTGGCTTTGGGTCTTTGTATTTGTTCCCATCTGATGCATAAAGAAGCTTCTCTGATGACAGCTGAGCAAGGCACTAGTCTATGAATACATTAGAATGTCATTAGGGGTCATTATATTGTTATTTGTTTCATTGGTGCTGTTTCCCTTTGTTTTGAAAACAATAGTACTTGGTTTTACCCTAAGTCCCTGGGCTATCTACCCTCAGATTCTTTGTCACCCATGTGGTGCTGGGTATAGGTTTCATCTTGTGGAAAAAGCCTTAAATCCAATCAATATTGATTAGGTACCACCACAAGTTTTGTGTCACATTGTGCTAGCATATTTTGCAGTCAGTAGATTGAAGGGTTTGTGCTTGCTTGGTATTTGTGTTTCTTCTTTGATAATGTGTAGAATACCTTTCTACTCAAATCTACTAACACACAAGAGTGAAGGTTCTAAGTAGGCACTGCCTTGATTTCTCCATATTCAATGAGTTGTGTAGGTTTTATATTCAGCAATGGGACCCTGACTTCAGTTTGTGAAGAAGAAACTACAGACTTGGCAAGAGCATGGATGGATTGTTTAGGGGTTCCCATGGGACCCTTTCAGCCAACAACTAAATTAGATGCAACCCATTCCTAGCATTTGAAGCTTCACTCTGACTCCTGGCGTATTTGGGAATTTCATTTTTCATCTTCATTCTTATATATACATATACATATACATATACACTATCTTTATCCATTCATTTGTTGAGGGACTTCTATTTTCTTCTAGTTTCAGGCTATTATGACTAGTTCTGCAGTGAACATAGTTGAGCAAATATCTCTGTATAAGATAAAACACTTTGAGTATACGCCTAAGAGTGGTGTGGCTGGGTCTTGATGTCGATTGAGTTCCATCTTCCGAGGAACTGCCACTCAGATTTACATAATCGCTGTACAAGTGTGGAACTCCCATCAGCAACAGATAAGTGTTCCCTTTATACTACAACGTTGCTTACTTTAGCTCTCAATTGTTTTATTGATCTTAGACACTCTGACAGGTATACAATGAAATCTCAATGTAATTTGATTTTTATTTTCCTTGTGACTAAGGGTATTGAACCTTATTTTAAGTATGTCTCAGACATTTGAAGTTCCTCATTTGAGAAATCTGTTTAGTCCTATACCATACTTTTTAAATTGCATTACTTTTTTTCTTGATATCTAGTTCTTTGAGTTCTTTACATATTTTGGATATTAGCTCTCTATTGAATATTGGTAAAAAATATTTTCCTATTCTGTAGGTTTCCACTTTGGTCAATGACATGTCCTTTGCCTTGTAGAAACTTTTCAGTTTTAAGAGGTCACATTTATTAATTGTTGATTTTAGTGCCTTGCTATAGGTGTTCTGTTCAGTAGGGCTTCTCCTGTGCCAACAAGTTCAAGGCTATTCTCTACCTTCTCTTCTATGATGTTCAGTATATATGGTTTTATGTTGAGGTCCTTGATCCATTTGGATTGAGTTTTGTGTAAGATGATAGGTATGAATCTACTTGGATTCTTATATATGCAGACATACAGGATGTTCAGCAGCATTTGTTGAAGATGTTTTCTTTTTTTCTTGTATGTATTTTGTTTTCTTTATCAGAAATCAGATGTTTATAGTTGTGTGTGCGTTTATGTCTGGGTCTTCAATTCTATTCAATTGATCAATGTATCTATTTTTGTGACAATACCATGCTATTTTCCTTATTGTAGAGCTCCATAGTGCAATTTTAAATCAGGCATAGTTATATCTCAGAATTGTTTTGCTATCCTCAGTTTTCTGCATTTCTGTATGAAGGTGAGAATTGTCCTGTCAAGATCTGTAAAGAATTGTGTTGGAGTTTTGATGGGATTGGCATGGAATCCATAGATTGCTTAGGTAGTATGGATATTTTTACTATGTTAATCCTACTGATCCATGAGGATGGGAGATCTTCCCATGCTCTTATATGGTCTTTAGTTTCTTTCTTTAATGTCTAAAGGCTTTATCATACAAGCCTTTCACTGACTTGGGTAGAATTACACAAGATCTTTATGTATTATTGAGGCTAGTATGGAAGGTATTGTTTCACTGATTTCCTTCCGTCCATTAGTAGTTTGTATATAGGAAAGCTACTACTTTTTTTTTTTTTGTTTTTTTTTTTTGTTTATTTTGTTTTTTTAGAATAACAAAAAATATTTTACTAAAACATAAGATTTACAGAAGTTTCCAGACAAGCCATACAAAATGGTCACAAGCTTTTTTCTTTGTCTTTTGGGGGTGGGGGTGAGGGTGGGGGAAGGAGACTCTACACTTGACAGCAAAGTCACAATGTTATTAGTGAGGGCTGTGATGTTTATTTCATGTTCCCATTTTGGTTCAGACAATCAAGCTTGTCCATCTACAGCATCTAAAGTTAGACTTGGCTAGAGAGCGTATTCTAAAAAACTGGTTAGCTGCATTTAACCACTGCAATTAGATCCTTAAGAGGGAGGAGGGGAAAGGAGGCCATAAAATTAAACTATATTCCCCCTAAAAAATAAAATAAAAACACCCATACCCCTGGCAGCTAACCCTGACAACTACCTTCATTCACAGTGCCTTGTACTTTAACCATGATGGGGAAGGAGTCAAAGCAGAGAGTCCTGCTTCTCAACATCTCTCAGCAACCCGGATGATAACTTCTAGCCTCTGCTCATGCTTTACAACAGTGAATCAGGACAAGACAGATTTGCTAATGTGCATGTAATCACCAAAGATGAAGATGCCTGGGCTTTTATTCTGTAATGTTTCTAAGACTGTGTCCATTAAATGCAAACAAAAAAAGGAAGAAGTCTTGGCAGAACAGGAGAAGTGGTGTACACTTGATGATCTGATCGACTTAAATATTGTTCATGGCATATAGCCTAGTCCATGCTCTCGCTGTCTCTATGGCTTGGGCTTCGTTGGTCTTCCACTGCTCGGCTACATCATTTGCTAATGGATCATCTGGATTAGGAGCACTTAACAAAGCCTGGATGGATAGCAGAACTGTGCGGATCTGCAGTGCTGGGGACCACTTATCTTTCAAAATATCTAAACATATTCTTCCCAACTTGTCTACATTAGGATGATAAATTTTGGTCATGAAACGTACTTTAGGTGCTGCCATTGGATATTCTTCTGGAAGGAATAGTTCAAGTTTAAAAGTCCCTCCCTCAAAGGGGGAATCCTGGGGGCCAGCAATGACCACATGAAAATAACGGGCGTTGCTCTCATCTGGTTCTGCTTTAATGCCAGGAACGGGTTCTGCCAGCAAACGCTGGGTTTCCTTGATGATCCTGCGGGGCAGCCCGGCCATCTTGTCAGATCCCGAGTTCGGCCTCTGCTCTTGTCTCCCAGGAAAGCTACTACTTTATTAAGACAAAATTTAAAAAAAAAATGTTCTCTTTCTTTTCTGAACTCAAGTAACATAAGTCTCATTTGAAACTTTACTATCCCTGGAAAATGCATTTGCACACAAATAGGAGCATTTAATTTGTAATACGTGAAAGTATTAATCTCTATATACTGTGATAAACCCTTTTATTGTGCACTCATCATGCAAAGATTATAAAAATATGGGTATGAAAATTTTAAAAGAGGCAAAATCCAGGGAAAATTAGCTATTGTAAAGATTATTGTTTTAGTACCTGCTACAGAAAGATGAATTCTAGTTTAAATGGGTTGGAATCAGATCTACAGGATGGCTAACTGAGAATAAAATATTGAAACCATATTTACCAATAATGTGGATAAAACAGTTTACTGGAAAGGTGTTGTAGCAGATTGAGTGAATTCCAGAGCTTTGCCATAAGGCATGCATTTAAATTCCAACTCTATAATGTGTTAGCTTTTAGACAAAGTTACTCAACACCTCCTTCAGCTGTTAATTCCCTCCGCTGTGTAAAGACCTGGAGACTACCCCTTAATTCACTAGGTTGATTATGATGCATATAACAATATATTTTAAAGGTATAGCATAGTTTCTGTACTAAACTTATTTTAAATTGTTTATATTTAGGAACTAAGTAAAACGCAAGTGTGACTCAACTATTATGGGCTCTCAGGAATTGTTCCTGTATAACAGGGGCTTGTTAGTGAGTACTAGAACCTGTCAGACAAAAGATACATTACCATCATAAAAAATAATCATTTTTTCTATTCTGTCCTAATTAATTTCTGACATTTAAGGGAGCTTATTTGGCTAAGAATCTGTTGCCCAGGGCTGGGTGAAGAGCAGGTTGTTTTTGTAGACACCTATTACAGACAGCCTCAGGGCCAGACCTTCGCTCTCAGCTTTGATAGATGGAGCTTGTTTGAGCCTGAAAGCATTGTACTGAGTCTGAGCTGCTTTGGGGGAACATTTCATATTAATCTCATCACTCTTGTTTTATTTAGTGTACTTCAATAATCAAGATTACTGTTACCTGGTGACTCTATGAGACTCTGTATATAGTCCCCTTCTTAGGAACTGTTTAAATCTCTGCTATGGGAAGAGGCTCAAGAGATGTGACCAGGTAAGTGAAGTGTGCACAAGGGAAGGGATTGAAGGGTGAAAAATTAAAGAGTGAGAGATGGAAAGAAATTCACGAAAATCTCAGAGGATGGTTAATGTAGTTGAAAAAAAGAGATTATTAGATTCTCATAGTTACTGAGACAAAGAAAGAGAGAGCAAGTAGAAAAATAAGAAAGAGAAAATGAACCTAACATCAGAACTCTCTTTTTATGGCCATTATTATCCTATAATCAGTATTATTAATCAAGGCTTTCTATTATTCCAGATCTTGTATCACTAGCTAGTACTGAGAGATGTAAAACACATATGCCATATGTATCAAGAAATTAACACTCCAGATTGAAAGGAAGTCTCATGCTTATACTATTCTCAATGTCATTTCTAACTTATAATTAAAAATCTAAACCAATGCCCAAACATTGTGGCCCCAAAATTTATCAGCAGAGGAGAATTTTCAATTTAACATGCTCTGGAGTTATCGAAGTACACTGTAGATTGTGGGGAAAATGTACGAGTGTGGGTAATTGGGGAAAAAAAAACAGTGTCTGGGAACTTCAGAGGTTGGGCTTTATGAGTGTTGATGCTGGAAGTAGTGCTGTAAACCTTTATGTTACTAAAGAATAGAGTGGGGTGGGTCTTATCTGAGTCATTGTTTCTTGCTTCTTGTATGGGCCAATGTTACTTCCAGCTTGGTTGGTTGGATAGAGACTTGCACAGTAATTAGAAACCACTAATCTCTTTTTTTCTGTTTTTTTAAGACATGTAGGGAAAATGAGAATTCTTCCAATTCTCCTAGAATGATGTTCAAAATCTTTACAGGGCTTCAAAACAGTATGCTCACAGTATGTAGGTTCAAGTCACATGATGGATCTCAACAGCAAGCAAAGTGTAATTAGCAAGAAAGAACAGGAGCTAGCTGATTCAGTAGTGCTAGGAAGATGCACATAGAAACAGAGACAAAGAGCAAGGAGAGCATCTTAGAAATATGTGTGATGGAAAAAGGAAGATACTGGAATTATTTCAATATAGGACATAAAATGATCTATGATAGCAAAAGTAGACGAGGAGACTATGAGGAGAGGATGATACACGATTCAGGTACACGGAGTCATCTGCACAGCAACATCTTAAAACATACGAACAGGGTCATCTTGTGGAGTATATTCAAAGTGGTAGTATGGCTCCAATGTACTTCTCTAGCACTCTGGAACAGCTCAGTTTAGCGACTCAGTGCAAAAGCCTATCAAGTTATAACGTGATTGTTCTTATTTCATAGTCTACATTTATGTGATATATGCCTATAAGACTTAAGAGACTAATCTGGAAAATAAGGTTTGAATGAACCTAGGGAGACTAGGAGAAATAATTTATAAAGGGGAAAGGGTCATTTCATTTTATGGCTTTAGTTCATGGTACTTGACTTGGTTGCTTATGGCTGTGGTGAGGCAGTATGCCATGGTGGAAGACCACGGCAAAGAAAATTGCTCATTTGATAGCAACTAGGGAACAGAGAAAAAGAGGAAGAGGCAGGAGTCAAAGTGCATCCTTCTATGGTACACCCTTCAGTGACTAACTTCTTTCAAGTAGATTCCATTACCTGATTTTTCTAAACTTTTTTATATCTTATTAAGCTAAATAGATTAATACATCCATGATTTTAGAGATCTTATGATTAATCAGTTTCAAAAGCTTCACTATAAACAGTGCTATACTTGGAACCAGGAGCTTAACACATGAGTTTTGAAGATAAACTCATAAAATGCAAGTGATAGCTATATCTAACGAGATTCGAGTCAAAAAAGTAGGGCCAGGTACTAGCAAAAATGGTTTAAGTAGCTGTAGAATTTATGTCAAAAGGTTTTAATCCCTTCATATTATAAAGGTTGAGGAGTTCTAAAAACAGAATAGAGTTGCATAATTTGAGAAATATGTACAAAACTATTGGAGTTTATAAGAAGGATCTGATGACAAACAGTATTACTGCCATTTTTTTCAGAGTGTGTCTTCAACTCACAATGCTGATCTTCAATAACACCACGTCCTCCTCCTCTTCCTCCTCCTCCTCATCCAGCTTCCTCCTTACAGCCTTTCCTGGACTGGAACTTGCTCACATCTGGATCTCCATTCCTGTTTGTGGTCTCTACACCATTGCACTCTTGGGAAACAGTATTATTTTGTTTGTCATTATCATTGAACGAAGTCTCCACAAGCCCATGTACTATTTTCTCTCCATGCTGTCTGTTGTTGATCTAGGTCTGACCATCACAACCCTTCCCACGGTCCTTGGTGTTCTTTGGTTTCACGCCAGAGAAATTAGCATTAAAGTATGCCTCATTCAAATGTTCTTTGTGCATAGCTTTTCATTCCTGGAGTCTTCAGTGTTGGTGGCCATGGCTTTTGACCGCTACTTAGCCATCTGCAGCCCTCTGAAGTATGCTACTTTACTCACAGACATGATGAGCTTTGTGATTGGACTGATCATCTGTATAAGACAGGTGGTTTTCATGTTTCCTTCGATTATGGTTGTGAAGACTGTGTCCTTCCAAGGAGGCCAAGAGCTGTCCCATCCATTTTGCTTCCATCCAGATATAATTAAATTCACATACACCAACCCCTGGATCAGTAGTTTCTGGGGAATGTTTCTTCAACTCTACCTGAATGGCACTGACTTAATGTTCATTCTTTTCTCTTACGTCCTGATCCTTCGCACTGTTCTGAACATCGTGGCCCCTCAAAAACAGCAGAAAGCTCTTAGCACATGTGTCTGTCACATCTGTGCTGTGACTATTTTTTATGTGCCAATGATCACCCTGTCTTTGGCACACCGTCTCTTCAGTTCTACCCCCAGGGTAATCTGTAGTATTTTGGCCAATATGTATCTGCTCTTGCCACCTGTGCTGAATCCTATCATTTACAGCTTGAAGACCAAGGTTATTCGCCAAGCCATATTCCGGCTGTTCCGATTCAAGAGTTCAAGGGGCTACAGTATGAGGAGCCTTAGAGGAAGGTGGGATAGAAGGAGACAATTTTCTAGTACATGACATATGACTAAAGAAGAAGATTATTGATTAGTTATCCCCAGGCATGATGGTTAGTAAGGAAATTCCAATTTGATTACAGGAGAAAGAAGAACCACATGTCTTTGAGTTTATGAGGGCTTTAAAAACACATTTCAAAGCCAATTTATGAGCAAATATATAAAATGATATTTAAATAATTTACATGGACTCTCACGTGTAAAATGATACTTTCATGGCTAGTCTGATCTGCTATTAAGTCTGAGGACCTGGGTTTTATCCCCTGAACCCATTCCAGGGAAGAGAGTACTAACACCAATGAACTGCTTTCTGACCTAGATCTACACCACAGCACATATTTGCACACCCACACATGTACTCACACTCACACAACACACACACACACACACACACACACACACACACACACACACACACACCAAAGACCCTTAAAATCCTTCCAGAGGAACTCCTATCTTGCTGTAAAGCAGGAATATTTAGAGCAGAAACAAATGGTATCATTTATATTTTTGTGTTTGACTAAATAAACTCTTCTTTTGCCTCGCTGAGGTTCATATTCCCCAGGGAGTTATGGGGTTTTTCTTTTTCACCCATGCTGTGAAAGAAAAAGTTACTTGTATGTGCACAAGACACAGACAGAAATGTATAATTAACAAATCTAGAAAAATCCTACATGCTTACTTCACTTTGTGTCATAGTCCTACTTCCTTGCACAGGGACCCTAATACTTCTTTTGCTAACCCCTTTTACTTTCTTAACAAAGATGTTGCCTTTATAGTTTAAACTGCTTGTATATT